TAGGCCCCGCCCTACCCCTGGGGGTCATGATTTGAACAAACTTGAATCTACACTACCTGAGGATGCTTCTATATTAATATGACTCATTATGGATTTGCTGTTCTTGAGAAGAAGATTTTTAAAGGTTTTTCCTATATATTTCTATGTAAAACTTTGATCCTCCATTGTGGCCCCGCCCTACCCCCGGGGGTCATGATTTGAACAAACTTGAATCTACACTACCTGAGGATGCTTCCAAATAAATATGACTCAACATGTCTTTGCTGTTCTTGAGAAGAAGATTTTTAAAGGTTTTTCCTATATATTTCTATGTAAAACTTTGATCCTCCATTGTGGCCCCGCCCTACCCCCGGGGGTCATGATTTGAACAAACTTCAATCTACACTACCTGAGGATGCTTCTATATTAATATGACTCATTATGGATTTGCTGTTCTTGAGAAGAAGATTTTTTAAGGTTTTTCCTATATATTTCTATGTAAAACTTTGATCCTCCATTGTGGCCCCGCCCTACCCCCGGGGGTCATGATTTGAACAAACTTGAATCTACACTACCTGAGGATGCTTCCAAATAAATATGACTCAACATGTCTTTGCTGTTCTTGAGAAGAAGATTTTTAAAGGTTTTTCCTATATATTTCTATGTAAAACTTTGATCCTCCATTGTGGCCCCGCCCTACCCCCGGGGGTCATGATTTGAACAAACTTGAATCTACACTACCTGAGGATGCTTCTATATTAATATGACTCATTATGGCTTTGCTGTTCTTGAGAAGAAGATTTTTAAAGGTTTTTCCTATATATTTCTATGTAAAACTTTGATCCTCCATTGTGGCCCCGCCCTACCCCCGGGGGTCATGATTTGAACAAACTTGAATCTACACTACCTGAAGATGCTTCCATATAAATATGACTCAACATATCTTTGCTGTTCTTGAGAAGAAGATTTTTAAAGGTTTTTCCTACATATTTCTATGTAAAACTTTGATCCTCCATTGTGGCCCCGCCCTACCCCCGGGGGTCATGATTTGAACAAACTTGAATCTACACTACCTGAGGATGCTTCCACATGAGTTTCATCTTTCCTGGCCCTGTGGTTCTTGAAAAGAAGATTTTTAAAAGATGCTATTAATTTTTCACTAATTCTTTATTATCTCCCCTTGAAAAAGGACGTGGCCCTTCATTTTAACAAATTTGAATCTCCTTCACCCAAGGATACTTTGTGGCAAGTTTAGTTGAAATTGGCCCAGTGGTTCTTGAGAAGAAGTCGAAAATGTTAAAAGTTTACAGACAGACAGACAGACAGACAGACAGACAGACAGACAGACAGACGGACAGACAGACAGACGGACGCCGGACAAAAAGTGATCAGAAAAGCTCACTTGAGCCTTCGGCTCAGGTGAGCTAAATATGACCAATCATGGCTTTGCTGTTCTTGAGAAGAAGATTTTTTTAAGATTTTCCTATATATTCCTATGTAAAACTTTGATCGCCCATTGTGGCCCCACCCGACCCCCGGGGGTCATGATTTGAACAAACTTGAATCTATACTACCTGAGGATGCTTCCATGTAAATATGACCACTCATGGCCTTGCTGTTCTTGAGAAGAAGATTTTTAAAGATTTTTCCTATATATTCCTATGTAAAACTTTGATCGCCCATTGTGGCCCCACCCGACCCCCGGGGGTCATGATTTGAACAAACTTGAATCTACACTATCTGAGGATGCTACCATATAAATATGACCAATCATGGCTTTGCTGTTCTTGAGAAGAAGATTTTTAAAGATTTTTCCTATATATTCCTATGTAAAACTTTGATCGCCCATTGTGGCCCCACCCGACCCCCGGGGGTCATGATTTGAACAAACTTGAATCTATACTACCTGAGGATGCTTCCATGTAAATATGACCACTCATGGCCTTGCTGTTCTTGAGAAGAAGATTTTTAAAGATTTTTCCTATATATTCCTATGTAAAACTTTGATCGCCCATTGTGGCCCCACCCGACCCCCGGGGATCATGATTTGAACAAACTTGAATCTATACTACCTGAGGATGCTTCCATGTAAATATGACCAATCATGGCTTTGCTGTTCTTGAGAAGAAGATTTTTAAAGATTTTTCCTATATATTCCTATGTAAAACTTTGATCGCCCATTGTGGCCCCACCCGACCCCCGGGGGTCATGATTTGAACAAACTTGAATCTACACTATCTGAGGATGCTACCATATAAATATGACCAATCATGGCTTTGCTGTTCTTGAGAAGAAGATTTTTTTAAGATTTTCCTATATATTCCTATGTAAAACTTTGATCGCCCATTGTGGCCCCACCCGACCCCCGGGGGTCATGATTTGAACAAACTTGAATCTATACTACCTGAGGATGCTTCCATGTAAATATGACCACTCATGGCCTTGCTGTTCTTGAGAAGAAGATTTTTAAAGATTTTTCCTATATATTCCTATGTAAAACTTTGATCGCCCATTGTGGCCCCACCCGACCCCCGGGGGTCATGATTTGAACAAACTTGAATCTACACTATCTGAGGATGCTACCATATAAATATGACCAATCATGGCTTTGCTGTTCTTGAGAAGAAGATTTTTAAAGATTTTTCCTATATATTCCTATGTAAAACTTTGATCGCCCATCGTGGCCCCACCCGACCCCCGGGGGTCATGATTTGAACAAACTTGAATCTACACTATCTGAGGATGCTACCATATAAATATGACCAATCATGGCTTTGCTGTTCTTGAGAAGAAGATTTTTAAAGATTTTTCCTATATATTCCTATGTAAAACTTTGATCGCCCATTGTGGCCCCACCCGACCCCCGGGGGTCATGATTTGAACAAACTTGAATCTATACTACCTGAGGATGCTTCCATGTAAATATGACCAATCATGGCCTTGTTGTTCTTGAGAAGAAGATTTTTAAAGATTTTTCCTATATATTCCTATGTAAAACTTTGATCGCCCATTGTGGCCCCACCCGACCCCCGGGGGTCATGATTTGAACAAACTTGAATCTATACTACCTGAGGATGCTTCCATGTAAATATGACCAATCATGGCCTTGCTGTTCTTGAGAAGAAGATTTTTAAATATGATCAATCATGGCTTTACTGTTCTTAAGAAGAAGATTTTTAAAGATATTCTCCTATATATTTCTATGTAAAACTTTGATCCCCCATCGTGGCCCCACCCTACCCCTGGGGGTCATGATTTGAACAAACTTGAATCTACACTACCTGAGGATGCTTCCATATAAATATGACCAATCATGGCTTTGCTGTTCTTAAGAAGAAGATTTTTAAAGATATTCTCCTATATATTTCTATGTAAAACTTTGATCCCCCATTGTGGCCCCACCCTACCCCCGGGGGTCATGATTTGAACAAACTTGAATCTACACTACCTGAGGATGTTTCCATATAAGTTTCATCTTTCCTGGCCCAGTGGTTCTTGAGAAGAAGATTTTTAAATGATGCCATTATTTTTTCACTAATTCCTAATTATCTCCCCTTGAAAGAGGGCGTGGCCCTTTATTTGAACAAACTTGAATCCCCTTCACCCAAGGATACTTTGTGGCAAGTTTGGTTGAATTTGGCCCAGTGGTTCTTGAGAAGAAGTCAAAAATGTGAAAAGTTTACAGACAGACAGACGGACGGACAGACAGACGGACAGACAGACGGACGCCGGACAAAATGTGATCAGAAAAGCTCACTTGAGCCTTCGGCTCAGGTGAGCTAAAAACAGTCATACAGGTCAAAAGTGTGCTTATATAATCTTGATCTTTAAATTTTGACTCTTGAGAATGGACAAATCTTTAACTTCTTCTTTTGTGGTTATGTTAAACTTAGTTTCTGTGCTTCAGTGTTCATAGAGGAAAAAAATAATGTTGACCTTGACCTTTGACCTACTGATCTCATATGTGTATTCTTTTGACCTTAGTTCATCTGCAGAGGGAAAATGAAGTTTTTAGGCTAAAAATACCAGTTTACTGCATGATTTGAATGTGTAATGTCTTGACCTTATACTAGACTTGACCTTTGTTCAAGTTACACTAAAATGAAGAGTTGTCTACCTTATCTGTGTAGTAAGCACAAAAGACTATGAACCATTATTTGTTTGCTTATTTATTTGTTTTACTTCCCTTTAAGAATTTTTCATGGATATTGGGAATATGTTTAGAATATGCATGATATTACAACAAAAATCATAAAAATAATTTTCCTTTGACCTGCCCGTGACCAAGTGACCAAAATACCTAAATGTGCTGTCCATTGCCCATTTTCCTTCTAAGCAGTGAAAGGAAAGTCTATATATTAGTTAAATAATCCAATTTATTGCATCACGTAGATGTAAAAATAGTCATAGAATTATCAGACAATAGAACTATGTACATGTTTTCTATAACAGTCTGCATGTTGAAAGATACTTAAGTTATTGTGTCACATAAAAGAGAATAGCTAGACAGACAGATAGACATGGTGATTACTAATACTACAGGGCATTTGAAATTTTTTTTTTTTGGGGGGGGGGGGGAGGGGGGGCTTATAGTTACAAAAATGAAAATCAACATCTCTATAATAAATGAGTGAAATAGTAAACTAGTGCATCAGTTCCACATGGAGTGACAATAACTATATTGTAATCACAGTTAGATAATGAACAAAAGACAGATGATTCACTTAAATAGTCTGCTTATTAATTTACTCTCTCTACAAAAAAAATACTGCACATACAGAAATCAAGACAGGGACTTTGAGTCCATCAAACACAAAATAATATAAAATACATAAAATTTTGTACATCACGAATCTGATTCACTCGTATTACATACATATATATACATATCAATAACACAATGTTGTACATTATATAACATCACAAAAAACAAATACGTAACATGTAATACTTTATTCATCTTGAGAGTTAATGAGGCTTTTCCCCCCAAAATAGGATAATTTTTTGAAAATGTGCCAACATTATTTTTTTTTTTATAAGGTGGCTAATATTAAAATAAAATTGATAATGTCTACCAGTTAACCTTGGTTTCAGTTCCAAATTCAATAATGGATAATCATTTTGCATTCAGTAACTGTCATAGAATTTTATACAATACTTACTGATACTTTATTGTTACAATGCCTGTAGAAATAAACTAGCAACTTCTAAAAGCATTTAAATTATGCATAAAAAGTTCTGAGAACATGAACAGAAAAATATAATAAATGAAACAGTTTTTATATATATATATACACAAAATGTAAGATTGCACATTATGCCTTAACCATGAACATGTACCTTTAACATCCCTTCAGGTTCTGTATCATTCCACAGCAAGATTACCTCAGAATCACTGACACTCTTCTCAGGGGCCAAGCTTAAAAAATTCCCCGTTTGAGGTTGCCGTCCCACAATTTTTAGAGTGGGTTGATAGGAAGGCATTTTTTTTTTTAAAAGAAAGAAGTCTTAGTTTGGCTTTTATTAGATAACAAATCATAAGTACTTTCAACGGTGCTGAAAAGTTTATATGCACCTGCCCGCTACACTTAACTGTAGTGCCTAATTGACAGACATACAAGTAACTCTCTAAATTAGAAAACTAAAGTTATGGTATTTGGAAAACTTAAACATTAAAAAAATCATTTTGATAAATAGCTGAAATTTTTTTTTTTAGGGGGGGGGGGGGGGGGCATTTTAAGCGAGTCGGTAGGTAACGGCAAACAAACAATATTTTGTTTTAGGCCCTGTGAATATTTTAAGAAGTCTTCACATCCATAGAATATCCATACAAAGCTTTCTGTTACATAATGTGATGGTAATGAGACAACATTCAGCACTTTTTTCTTGACATTTTAAAGCCTTTCACTCATAACAGTAATATGAGAATGAAAAAAATTAAACTGGATTTGAAAAAAGTTTCCAGATAGGTATTTCAGTTAGAGAGTTTGTTACATACTTTGATTTTTTAACAACAAAAATGAACTCTCTCTCTGGAACAATAAAAACCACTAATTCTTCACTATATATTCCTGTACTTGGAACCACCAGGTGTTCAAAATCTCCTGGAAGAATGGCCAGATGATTTTGGATTTTTCTTCTTATATCAATGTAACAAGAGTTTAACACATCAAAGGCACTATCATAACACCGTTAACGTCAAAATCACCATTAATACTGTTGCTAAGGAAACAGTCAAACATGAACTCCCTCCTGCAGGATTTGGTTTTTTAGCAGGCGGCAATGCCGTATATCCTGGAAAGTAACAAACTGCTGTTAGATATAGGCCTTAATAAGTTCTATTTTTATACCTAAAGCTTAAACCTTTATGGTAGATTTGATCATGATCAAACCCGTATTTATATCCCAATAGGTGTTTTAAAATGATACTCTTTTACTGATAATTACATTTGTGACTGATTTGTAATATATATTTGCATGATTATAATCTTTAATGCATGAAATGTTTTATTTTTCAAAACTCAATGGCATAACTTAGATCCACTGAATGCACGTCAACCCTGTACTACAACACTGAGAAATTAAGTTGAACATTTATGATGTCAGAATCCTCACTTGCCATGTTGTTGATAGAGTGATAGATATGCACTGCTTAAATAGTATTATATAAGAGAAAGCATTTGCAAATGTAAATATATGTATACTAAGTAAAGAATGTGACGTTTTTTAATGAATCAGACAAATGAGCTTTACAAAGAGGTTGTAATTAACTAAGCACACATTCTTAAAAAAATTACAAAGCAATTATATAGAAATTTGGAATCTTTCTCCGTGAACAAAAAATATATAATGCGACATAACTATTGCTACCACTTACTGGTATCTTCCATGGTGACATCAAATATGACAGGCGTGCTACCACTACCGCTACCACTATACATATCACCAGAGCTACCATAAAGGTCCTCATCATCCGTCTGAAGATGATCGTGATGTAGGCTGTAGTCTCCACTACCGTACTTAAAAGAGTCTGACTGCATGGGCTGTCTTCTGTCCCTAGCGTAATCAAAGTCCGAATAACGCGTCATGAGGTTCTGCAATAAATAGGATTCCTGATTTAATGATCAATCTTTGTTATTTTCAGGCATTAAAATTTCTATAATGTAAATGTTTCAATCAAAGACCTTTGTCTCTGCATCGTTTCAATAATACAATGACCTTACCACTCTCATTGCAGCTAGTTTATCTTTCAAGCTAACAAGCTTGGGGTCTATAACCATAGCTGTTCTCGTTAGTAGGGTCGGAATATCTTCAACAACTTCGGTGTATCTGAAAAATAAAATTGTAAGACAGTTGACATGAGTGTACCAAGAGAGACAATTCTTGTCATATAAAAATCCTCAATGGGTTATTCCTCTTTGGTTGTTTCAGCCATAAACATGTTGAGCTGAGCCAGGGACGTAGCTATGTAAAACTTGAATTGCACTAATTTTTTATCATCAAAATATGTCTTAAATTTGTATAACAAATAAAAGTACATAGGACAAATATTTTGATCCATGAATTCTCCAATAAGCCAGTGACTAATATTTGTGCAAAATGTTGACAATACTCTAAAATTAGTACTGGTAGTACCAGAAAATATACAGAATCAGTTAAAAACTTATGTTATTTCATATCATAATAAAAATGTGTTGCTCAGATTGATATAAATGTAAATAGGTCTTGATCAAATAAATTTCAAGAGCTCAAATATTCAACAAAACATCCCAGTGAAAACTTTTTTAATAGCCCTCCAGGGTCTGAAATTGAGACCATAGAAAATTTTGCCTATTTACACTTATGTATATTTAAATATAATATATATTTATTACAAGTCAATTTGGTACAATGCGCTTTGCGCACGACTTGAACATACTGAATTTCATTGTGGGATTAGTGGACGAATATGTTGGGAACACATGTTTAGTAATTTTTTTGAGATGGCAGTTGAAATATACGGAGAAATAAATTGAGAAATGGTGCATTTTTAGGTACACAATACAGTCATATACACTTTTTGCAATGGGTAGCATTGTAGCTCTCTGTCGCCGGGCTCCCATTTTTTTTTTTTTCAGACCAGCGAGCTACAGATCTGTAGCCTTATATACATGTACAAACCAAATCTTATAATATTAATTTAATTTAAACAATATTTTATTATGATTATACATAACTGGATTGGACAGCAGGCACTGCCTATATAAGTCCTCTCCAAATGCAGGTCAAGTCATACATGTTACAAGTAAATATTAATTACATAACATTGAAAAAATATATACATGTGTATATTCTAAAGATACATATACATATATATACACATATATATATATATATATATATATATATATATATATATATATATATATATATATATATATATATATACACATACATACACATACACACATATATATATAAAAGACAAAATAAGTAAGGGAAAAAAAATATAAATGAGCTGATGATACTATATAAGTTTGCATTTAACATATATGACTGATAATTATAATAATACAAGTATAAATGTGAAAGTTAATAAGAACACATAAATAAATGTTGGTTCTGTGGTTTGACAAAATTTAAAAAAAAGAAGAATAAATATCATGCAAATCTCTTTGTAGATGCAATAAATTCTTGAACAATTTTAAATACGGCAATATTTTGGTTGTAAGTAAGATTATTGTCTCCATTCAAAATAAGTTGTAAGGATATAGGCATTGGTAATTGCAAAGTCTTATAATATTGTAGAATATGTTACAAACGTGAAGGGGTTAGGTTAAGAAAATGACTTTGCTGTATATTTGACTATACACAATATGTAAATTTTGAACATCTGACCTTATATGAGAGATTTGTAGACAGGCCCTTACCTGGAATGCCACCTTTATAAACACCATTAGATGATAAGTGGCCACTAAATCATTGACAGTTCATAAAAATTGTCACATACGGTCATTGATATTAAAAATATTTTTATGCACTACTTAAATATTACAAAAAATAAGAAGTACCAACTATCAACAGTTATGTATTAAATAAGAATTAACTGTTTTCTTTTTAGGAAGTCATGCAAATTTTTTTCAGTTTCCTTTTACGATATTGTTTTAAAATTGTTTTTCAAAGTGTTCTATACAACACATATCTAGAAATCAATTTAACTCTGGTCTCCATTTAAAACTTAATCAGCCAAGTAATTAGTAATCAGTCACTTAATGAAGAAGTTATGACACATTACATCTGTATAATAAATGTTAATTACCTAACAACTTGATAATGATCTCTTTAACTTTTAAACGTTACATAAAGTGTTGCCAACTTGTCGAGTGCAAGACAAATGAACATTTTTTATGAAGTCGCTGATCAGCGCACAAAAAAGAAGAATTCAAGTATCTCGGCTATATCTCTGCTATGTGTCTTTTTGTCTACTAAGTCATCAAGTTTAAACTGTGGTATATATATATAATAACAGGAATGTTATCTTGTATCTCAGACTTTTCACGACAATTTGCATTCCTTTGTCCGTCCTTAGTCACAATGAAACAACTTTCTATTACCTTAAGCTCACTGAGAATAATTGGCCAAATGTGCGTTTACCTACCCCTCAATTTGGGGAAACTCGATCAAAAACAGTCTTTATGAAAGATTTAGATACGACCTCAGCAATGTTAAAAATACACCATATATCATGGTATAGCTGACAAAAAAATAGAGGGACACCTCACAACGAACTTCCAAATGCCTGTACTTAATTAAATACCTTACATCTAATTGTATGTATCAGTGTAGGGAGTTCAAAGGCAATTTAATTGATACAAAAAAGGCTGTGAATCTTACAGCCTATTATTACAATCATTTTACACAGTTGGGTTTTAGCAGAAATTACTAGGCCTCAAAACAGACACATTTGTCTCGTTTTTTAAATGACCCTTCTATAGCTTAATATTAGTTTGATAATGAATGCTTTAAATACTTGGGTGACAGGCTTACATCAAAATTGCAACATGGTCAAAAATAGCCTGGTTTTCCTGTCAAAACCACTTTACCGGACCTAGTACCCTTTCTATTCTCAATAACATGCTTTCAGCATACATGATATCAAACAGTCCTCCTTTTAAATTTTTAACTCACAACAAGGATAACATTTCAGATGTAAAGATGCCTTCAGACCAGGCAAAAGGTACAAATCTGTAAAGATTTAAACAGACAGTCAGACTTTTTTTATTTAAACACTTGATTTGAAACTTTTACAATGCTCTGCCTGCCTATTACATTACATCTTTAAAGTCTTAATTTTTATCCAAAAGGTGACCTACATTTAAACTGTCTGACCTATTTTTTGACAGGTACAATGTGCAGCAACAAAGAATCATATACACTTTCCATTTATTGTTTTGTACATCTACCACCATCTGCACAGTAAGATGGCTACCCAATAAGTGAACACCTGTGAGGAATGGCCATGATCTTCAACATACATCACTCCATTTTTCTTCCATTTCCTCTGTCTTAATTCATTAAATTTGATATCTATTTCCATTCATTAAAGTACATCCTCATCTTGATGTGATTAAATGGAGATGATTTCATTGACATTCATTAAATGAGAAAAGTGATCCACTGAGAACTAGAGAGAAGATATGCAGAACGTGAAAAACGTTACAGGAACCATTAAAGTCTGACATGCAAAGTGCAGAATTGCAAAAAAAAAAAAAAAAATCGTGTAATTCATGAGGTGAAAATGATGTTAAATTGGATCAAAAGGAGATTTCCCAGGGAAATATTGAGTTATTCCGTTAAACATCTTTTTGTGGTGTAATGGTGTCTAAACTCATTCATATTAATCTGGCATTATTAGATCCTTTTTTAAGTCAAAATTTTTATATTTGAAATTCATTCAATTCTGAAATTTTTTTGCAATTCAATAAAAGATAGCATGCAAATATGCAAAATGGAAATGATTAAATAGTTTGATGTTGAAAAAAAAAACCCAAGTCTCTGATAAAACTGTAACTCTACTGTTTTTTTTTTTAATATTTAAAAGGAAGAGAAGTGTAAGCACCTGGACTTGAAACACTTTTTTTACTTTAACAATTACAGAATTATGTATCCTGATGTTTTCTAAACTTGTGTCAATTAAGTTTTGTTGTAATTTAATCAAATTGTAGGAGTAGTAGCATTTGTTAGTAGCTATGACAAGTTGACAACACTGATAACTGGAATAATATGTCATAGTTATCAAGACACAACATCAAGCACACATGTTTACCAGGTTTAATTGAAATTAGACCAGAACTGTAAGAGAAATAGCGTTTTGAAAAAAATTCCAACATTATATTTTATTTTTTATTAATCACTGCACCATATTGCCCATTAAAATTATTTAATTATAGTGCAGCATTCATGTTTTATCAAAAATGGACCAAAAGTGTAGAATGAGTAAGTATTTTGAAAAAGTGTACCAAGTTTTTTGAAATCAAACCAAAACAAAAAAAAAATGGAGCATTAAGAAAGAATTTCACTCAGAAACTTTAATTTTCAGTAACTGCAGCAACACTATTCATCAAAATCAAAAACATACAATAAAAGGAATTACCCGGATATGTATCTTAGTTTAGTCTACTAGTCTAGCAAGTTTTATTTAAATCAGACCAAACTATATGAGAAGCATCGTCACAAACCACGGCCAAAATGTACGATCCTCTCCCATTCTGGCCATGGTTGAATGAGAAGAGAATATTTCGCAGCTCATTAAAAAATTGACCAATGCAAGTAAAGCATAGTTGGATAATGAACTTTGATGCGACCTTTCAATACCCAATCGCATTATACGAAACATTTCTTGTATACTGTTGATGTCAGTTGTTGATTTCAATTGCAATGGAAACAAATATTGTCATTGGCTGAACATGACGTCACAACATAGAGGCATAAATATTCAAGATCACGACACTTTTTGTGATCAAGCAGACACGGGTAGGAGAGAGCTATATGTGGACTCCGGACCGTGGCTTCAGAGACGATGTACGAGAAGTAGCATTTTGAAAATGTCTACAGACAAATGGATGGAAATATACACTTACCTGGGATAAGCTAGCTCTTCTGGTTCTTGGACCAGAAGAGCTAAAAAACTGAAGAATTTTGAAACATAAATAATCTAATACACATTGAAAGCAGAGTGACAGGAAAATGCTTTCTAAATTCCTGAGGATATCCCAGGAAACAAAATAGACTTAGGGAGTGAGGTCATAAAATAGAAGTGCAGAACAAGGGTGTGAAACAAGATCTTGCACTGCCTAATGAAGCAGCAGATCTGTTAATGAAGCATTGATGTAATTCTGCGTAAAGAAGTTACAAAATAACAATAGGTTTCAGCTTTGGGAAAATTGCTTCTCTGTGGTTTGGTATCCTATATATTTTTTCTGACATCAGATCTAAACATCTTAACTTAGAACATGCAACTGTTCGAGTTCTTACAAAAAAAACAATTGATACTTTTTCTTGCCCCCTGACCACACCCATTGTTTGTTCAGGGTTGTACAGGTAAGAGTCCAATTCCAATGTATTCTGTCATATCTGGTGAGAAGTACTCATATTTAGCCCTCTTGTAATAAGAAAACCTGCCCTTTGTGAAACTTCATACACACATTAAAAATATTGGGGTATATTCTTCCAAGTCCTCTCCTTTGAAATTATGATAATCACAAAAAATAGTTCATCCCATTTTATTATGAAGTTGTATCACGTACAAATCGGGACAAGGGCTTTTTTATCTGATAATATCAGGTCTGAACTTAGCTTTTGTTGCATTTATAAGACTGTACATATAAAAACTTCTATAGTTCTCTAGTTTCATATCATATAACCTGTTGAATGCCTCAAAGATTAAACGAAGTACAAACATGTCACTGATACAATTGATGCATTTTAATAAAAGTCGTAAAAATTTAAATAAACCTACGGAAATTTTGAAATCTCTTCAGCGTAGCTTATTTGAAAATTTAAACATACTGTTGCATTAAATTGAAACCAAAAATGTTTCAAATATATTTATAATGCAATAATTTGATTTTTTTTATACATATTTTGATGAATTAAGCCATACAATTTTTCAATTGACTGAATCAAACAAAATTTTGTTTTTACCATCTATCGCAATTTTAAATGTGAATATATTTATATATATGTCTGGGTCACACACTAAGTGACCACCCATTCACAGGGAATCTCCTGATAAATACGCAAAAGATTTATGGTAATTAGCCATATCTAGCTAGGAGGCAACAGACCATCATCCTGTCCTGTGACCTTTCATGCTTGACTGACTCTCATATACATCATAGGAGGACACGTTTGGTCAAATGTAGTGAGGTTTATCACACTGCACAGAGAGAGGGCCCTGGTATTTTGTGATGTTTTTAATATGGTGATGATGATTCAGACTACAGCCATTAGGGTTTCTCAGGGCATGCTCAGTCAAGTTTTCAGCAAAACATGAACATTCTTCCAACTTCTGCAAGGACTACATGTTGAATAAAAATTGTTATTGTACCAGCACCCACGTGAAGATGTCAGATGCTTTAGTCGTGACATTAATTTACTGTTAATAAAACAGTAAGGATAAGGCATATCATAATCCTAAAAATCATTCACCAAAAAAAAAGTTATGGTAAAAAAAGCCATATATATAGGTCTGGAATAAAAAAAAAGATCAGGATTCTGAGAATATACATATAGAGGCATTTCTGAGATTGAGCCGTAAAGCCGTAGACATTGAACAATAGACCATGCAGTGTCTAGACTCTCAAGTCAGACGCAATGTATCATAATCGGCATACATTCCATACAGTGTGGAAGGAACCACATAACTATGATGCTTGCTTTAATCATTACTAAGCTTGCATGATCATCAAAGAGATACATTTCTGATTACTTTTAATATCAATTGCAAATATGACGGAACTAATGGATTAACATGTTTATCAGAGACCAAAATGTCAGCAAATACCAAGCAATTTCATGTCATTATGATTTAATTTTATCAAATGATCCATGACCCTTCAATTTAAAAGCTTTAATACATAGCAAATGCTAAAAATTTAGTAATGTGTCCTTTTTTATCCAAGAAAGTAATTTTTATGTTTAGTTGCTTTTTTTTGGAGTGGGGGGGGGGGGGGGTCAGAAAAAAAAATGATTACAATAATACAGTAACACCAAACAATAAAAAGGTGTTTCCCACTGGGTAAGAGGAAGTCTTTTTTATTTATTCTGTTGTTTTGTTTGCACCACACTAATTGTACACATATTTTCTCTCTTCTGAAAATAGCAGAGTGAATTCAATAATTCTGGTTACAGTGAGAGTTCCCATAAATTCATTAGAAGAACACTTTGCAGTAGATTCTTTGCATTTCTTCATTTTGTAGGAGTGCAATTTTCTAGATGGCAAGGAGCACATTGCCAGAAATCACTTTCAGTATGTGTGACTTCCAACTGCTCAACAATTTTTCATTATAAAACTCTCCCCACCCCCCAAAAAAATGATATTGCAGGGTTTCTTTTTTCTTTTCTTTTTAATACCAAATACATAGACTGTGTAAAAGGGAAATTACTCTAAGTGCATTTTTTAGACTTGCATGATATAAAAAACTCCATTCCTTGTGACAAATTTACCTGTCAGGTGTGAATGAATGTTAAAAGATGTAAAATCTGAATGAAAAAAATGTAAGCAATTTCTGTTATCATTAGTACGTAAGCTTTGTACTTTAATTCATCGTCCCAGCAGATTTGAGAAGCATTGACAATGAATGTCATCTTACTGCTGCACGATTAAAGTTTTATTTACGATCAATCCTTGTCCCCCTTTCTGTATAATGTGGACTATTTTTCACCAGCTCATGATTAGATTTGTTTTTCTCACCTAAGATAAGAGCAGATGTACCTGGTAAATAAAATATTTGTGGATTTTCTTTTAACTAATCACTTTTTGTATATAGTATATCTCAATATCCCTCTTTCTATGAATGAACTCATTTTGTTAATTTGAACATTTTTTTTGGGGGGGGGGGGGAGGGGGGGTTATAAAATTCAATTTATCATCCAATAATGAAGTTGACAAAAAAAAAGTCAAGATTTTTGTCATTCTGCTTTCATTTCTTTATAAAGATTGCACAATGTTTATTTATAAAATTAATGGTAAATTATGAGATAGGTCATACCAGGTGTTCCAAAATGAAAGTCACTTATTGTAATCCAGCAAATATTGCACATCTTTTGTGAAACACCTAAAGAGACAAGAAAAATGATGACCTCAGCCCCTTAAAATAAACTCTGATCCATTGATCAGACCTTTCAACATACTTCAAATATTTCCTTCCAGTCTTGAATGAGAAGTAAATTGAATTTAAATCCCCTGGTTTCTGTTTAGAAGCTGTTTGCTTACAGACTAATATCGGTCCTTGTCTGGCTGGCCTGAAGGAGGTCAGCCAAGGTTAGACACAGCCTACACAGGTAGTTCACTGGGGTACAGCAGTTGTGTGAAATATGAGCTGACATCTCTTTTTGACACTTTATCTATATATCTATGTTTGTGATGTGGGTAATGATGGCCCGATGACAGTCTGATATCTTTACAAGAGGCTGGCTTGCTCCTTTAGTCTCTCACCTTGTTACGTTTAGCTTTAATGTCCCTTCTCAGTTCAGCGTTTATTACATTCTCCATTACCATAAACTCATTTTTTAAGTTATTCAGGTCATTTTTATATTGTACCACAAATTCAAATAGAAGATTTGAAGGGAGATAACACTATGAGTTTTGCATTCTTACCTCCCCTTTGTGAGCCCATTCCAGCACTGGGTACTGTTAATATCCTGGTCATAAAAAATCTGTTGATCACAGATATCATCAGCAATGGTGTCAAACATCTTCAGTGAGGTCAGCAGCTCCTTCATGACCTCCAGAATTTTTTCATACATTTCCCCGCCAATTTCTCTTTTAATCTTCAAGGGACCTGAGCTGGAAGAAGCAGGTATATTCTTTGGGAGTACCTGCTTTGAACTTATAGGAGTTCTAAAACCACAGATTTGTTGGGTCTGAAAAAACAATAGGAAAACATTAAAGAAAATTTGTAATAACACATGGAAACTGCCTAAAAAATTATAGTCTAATTTGGAAAACCTACTTTTAAAGTTTGATACATCATAAATAAAATTGTTGCAAAAAGTTCTGGAATCTCCATCTGGTGCCATAATTTTAACTCAAATTCATTCATTACTTTTTTTTGTCACAAGGAACTTTATTCCAATTTTGAAGATTAATAAGCCCACAGTTGCTCAAGATCTTTGCCTTTAATCATATAGCTTGTTATTAGAGTGCTGTAAAAGGGAAGAATCATTGATCGCTATGAATGGGAGCTAAAGCTCACTACAGGAAAAGGGGGGTAATCCATGATCACAATGAATGGGAGATAAATCTCACTGTAAGAAAAGGGAGGTAATCCCATATGAGCAGTAAAGGGAAGTTAAATCATTGGGAATTTTCATTCTATTTTAATAGTGTAATAAATCTGAAACAATCAAACATAGGATTTTCTGCCATATGCCAAGGCAAGTATCCCATACCAATAATATTTACAATCCAGCTGATAAGAATGAGAAACAATGAAATCTGTATAGAGTTTCTATTACAAAAGTAAGCAGTATGGGCTTTAATGTGTTTAGCTCTCCCATACCAGATATCTGGCCCTTATTTACAGCTTTACACCTTGCAAATAAAAATGCAACAAATACTGAACCTTTATAATGCATTGGACTAGTAAAGAAATGTACTGAAATGTACAGTGTTTAACAAAGAGCCAGTACAGACCGACACGATCTACTATATGTTGGTTCTGGCATTATTTATGTCACTGCCGCATTCAGTTTAGGATTAAACCAAATACAATGTCCTTCCTAAATATTGATGCTATAAAAAAAATAAGGACATTCATGTTATATTTTATCATTTCATTACTATTGTGACATAATTATTTGAGTTTCCCTATGATTCCGAAACATTATAGAACCCATAAAATGAAAAACAATTGAGATAAAACATCTATATATTTTTTTGATTTTGAGCTATTTGAGACAGTGAATGTCTTAAAGCTTATACAAACAATCAATAAAAAGAACACATGAATAGTTAAAGATTGCACATAATGCATGTGGCTGTTTACACTGAAGGGATGAGAAAGACGGTAAATTCAATATATTTTAATGGTAAAGTGTATTTAAACACTGAAAAAAGCTACATATTTTCCCTCCCTGATATGCAAAAAACTTTGTTTGATAGCAAGTGTACCACAAAATGGGCAATGTCAATATGAAATTGTCTAGACATCACACGCATAGCCTTTTCATGATGTGCTGTAACAATTGAATGGAGTCATTTTCCTTTGAGCACTTAAGCCCTGATGTCTCTAATTTTGAAATGCTGTGGAATAATACATGTATACCAACCACGTTGAACAATGAAGCAAAAAATTTCCATTAGTCCTTCCATATAACCAAATAAGGAAAGATATACTCGAATTTGAGGGAACTTACTCAACATAATCAATGAAATATCAAGATAACAAACAGTAATCAGGCTCCAAAGTCCATTGGAACAATACAAATTGGGAGCAGAGCACACACAGACCTCTAAAAACATCAAAGGTGAGATCAGGTGCCATGGAGGAGTAAGCATCCCCTGTCAACCAGTCACACCTGCCATGTTCTCTTTGTCATGACTGGGCAAACAGGAAAATCTTGTAGACAATTCAGTGTGAAAATAATAACATAGCAAACAATTTGTATGAAAAACGTCAGTCAACATTCGATTTAACATGCTAACAAGTTCATTGTATTGACTATAGAATTTCCAGAATGTTGACTTTAAATGGGACTGTTGATATCCTTATATCATCAACTTATTTGTCAAAGCTTGCCTTGTTTTAGCAGCTGTTTCAAAATTAGAGGCATCAGGGTTTAAGTTCTCACAGGAAAATGACTTCATTCAATTGTTGCAGCACAACATAGTCCTGCTATCAGTTTCTTGATACCAATATAAATCTGTCAAATTCTGCAGCTAGTTGTAATTGTATATTAAAAAAAAGGTTAAGTCTGAATTTTTTTCTCTTACTATAACATTTATAGAATATCATAATTAAGATGAAAATAAATATTAAATGTCCAACTAAAATGATACTCATTATTAAATTAAACCCTTTTTTATACAACATATAGGTCTGACTAGAAAAAAAAATTTTCTGATGAGAAATTTTGATAATTTGATCATACTAAAATGTGTCCATATGTGTTTGTAGGGGAGGAGTTTAACTATGCCTTTTGAAGTTAAATTTCACTCTTAAAGTCACTAAAATTTAGGAGCTTCTGGGGGCAAATGGGCTTTGACCTAATGGGGGCCTTAAGGTGGCCCCTTGCCTCTGAAAAAAATTTTCATGCCTCACCCACCCACCCCCAAAAAATTCCTGGATCTGCCCCCCCCCTGCTATTCCATAATCTGTTCCCAGAAAATTCACTCTCCATCTGTATGATTAGTTTTATAGACAGTCTGACTTGCAGTCAGTTATGATAAACATAATTTAAACTGAACCCTTTATGAAGACAAAATAATACAGTTTCATTAATAATTCAGTTCAGAAGCACTGTATAAAGTTACGATTGAACTGTGCAGCTTGGAAAATGGCCAATAAAACCACAAAAAATTAATCCAATAAATCTCTCATAGCTAACAAGTCAATGAAATTTCAAAAAATAGGAATTTCCAAAACAAAAATTCAATGATGACTTTTTGGTCTAGCATACTGTAGAGCTTGATATTCTGGGTCAAATTCTGCATAACTTCAAATTGCAGAGTAGGAAATAAGATGTTTTATTACACAAGGAATAAACTTGTTAATTGTGTGAGAAGATGGCAGGCCTGGGACAACAACACCAGCTTCCTTCACTGAAATCTGACATTGATTTGACTATTAGCTTCCTCTGTCGTCTGGTTCTGCCCCTGGTAACAAAATTATAGAAAAGGTCTTTTTTCTGCTTAGGCAATAAGAGTCACAAATGTCTAGTCATGTCTCACAAAATATGTGTTGATCTAGCTTAATGCACAAAATTCCAATTTCTGATATGACTTGCATCACTATGCAACTTATCTTTCCTTTTTTTTTTTTATTTGAATGCTTGAAAAATAGAGTAAATAATGAATTGATCTTTTGTTTCAAAGCAAGATAATAAAAACTGCCCTCGTAATTGGAAAAAATTCTGAAGTCAATGTTTATAGAACACTTAAATCCAAATCTGGTGCTAGACAATAAACTCTGTAAAATAGAGACAATGGAATTCAGTTACAAATAAAACATTAAAGGCCCTCACTAAAGAAAAACATCAATCTATATTTTCCTTGTCCTCAAAATTTGCTATTTCTACCACTAAAAAAACTAAAATTGAAATAAACTTTGACTTTTCATTTTAATATTAAAAAAAAATCTTTTCTTCAAATGTGATGGAAAAATGGCTAAAAAATTTGCCTAAATTTCAATATATTTTTAGTCCTAAAATTTTAGAGTAGTTCCCCTTTTTAACCTGATTTATTTTAAGGTGTCATCTACAACTGATGCAAATTTTTTCTAATAATTATAAAATATACATGTATACAAATACACTGTATGTCATTTATTGATAAAAAAAAAAAAAATACTTTGCCGAGGACCTTAAGATGTAGGCTTTAAGCATGCATGTACATCTCTGATCATTTATTCCTTCTATCTTTTTTCATCATGATTGAAATTTTAAAATCATTTTTTATGTCCAAATAGATCTCACTTACTTTGGGTGCAAGTATCAAAAATAGCTACTCCAACTAGTCTGGTATTCAAAAGTTATGCAAAATGAAATAAAAATAGCTGCAAAACCAGCTGACACATAGGCTATTACTAGTGTAATTCCTTAAACTGTAGCAGAAAAAAATTCCTCCTGAATTCTGGATTTTCACAAAATTTTAAAAGTTAATGAATATTTTCCCCCAGTTAATCTATCACCTGACAAAGAATTGTTTTTTACTCTGATGCATTTTAGATTGTTCTTAAACTGCATTTGAAAACCCCTTTTTTCACCCAGTTATTGGATTCATTTATTTTCCTCCCCAGACAGTAAGAGTTAATTAACTATCCATCACCATGGCTGGAATAAATGTAGCAATATTTCTGTGATCTTTTTCACCAAAAAAGAATTAAAAGGATGTGCCACGAAGGACACATAATGAGTGGCCAATTATCTAGACTGCCAGAAGTTGCTGTAAACGATCACGATCTTGCATGCTAAGAACATTTTAAACACTAACTGTATGAACAGACTTTATACTCTCTGTTCTTCTTGATGAATTGAAAATGCTACATCAATTTCATGAAGGACCAAATACAGCCTTAATTGAATCCCTGAGTTGTTGAAATAAGTGGTGATTGAAGAAAAAAGATAGTGCTTGCAGTCCTTTTCCATCTTGTACGTGTTGGAGATGTGGATCACTTTGGATCCCATCCAGACCAATTAAGGCAGCTGTTACCTCAATGTTGATGGAAATATATCATGAACCCACATCACCCCAAAATAAACCATCATTCATAGAGTCTGAGGTTTCTATTCTGTTGACATAATTCAATCACACTTTTTATTACATAAAAAATAATAATTGAATCAAATGAAGACATTGCAAATAATTTTTTTTCTACTGACATTAGTTTGCTGAAAGAGTGAAAACTCAATAATTGCAAACCACTAAGGGATGAATTTAGGCTGCAGAATGTTAACTCGTGCAGTTTGAAAAACTCAATTTTTCTGCCTTGGAGCCACAGGTGGCTAATCAAAAGATATCCTGGACTTTCCCAATCAAATTATGAAGAATCTGATACAGGGGAAAATCTGCTAGTAGAAACAGTAGTGAACAGGTATCTGTTTTCCCTGCATCCCTGTAACATCATGGCTGCCAGCCAAACGCCACATCCCAGAATAAACATTATTTGTTTACTCATCAGAAGAGAGGATAAACATTAGAAACA